GCGACTAATAAATACCCTGCATCGGGTTGAATAAAATCGTCTTTCTGCGCGAGCAGCCTTGACGTGGAACGCCGACTCAATTCACAGTTTTGCTATCAAAATATTATTTTTATTCGTGTGCATTTCGCCTGCTCTATAGCACGCCTTGCCTTGAGTGTACCTGCCCTTCCGACTAATTGTTTTCTTATAGGGTATAACAATTAAACTTCTCATGCTTACGGCCCGCATATAAAACAATGCGACCACGCCCACAAACGCCCATTTCGCCGATATTTAAATTGCATAACTGTTTTGGCCCGGCCAGCGTCAACGGTGGCGACGACGCCGACATCTCAGACTTTCAACCAGGTGCCCCGGACACAAGTCCAGTTGCATTTTTACACTAGTTCACAGAGGTTAAAATGGGTATATTTGCGCTCGACTAAGGTAAAGTCTTGCCAAGTCGGGACAATCTGTATCTTTCACATGTTGAGAGCTAATAAGAAAAGGTTGCTTTGAAGACAACTCCAACTCTTAAGATCGCAAATTTTACCAAGTCGGAACACCCACTATCTTCCACATGATTTTAAGGCTACCGATGACTTCTTCTTATTGAATAGCTCTTACTAACTTTGGCAAGTAGCCAAATCGAATATGTTTAATTGAGAGCATTGAGCAGTCGGTTGTACCCGACTGCAACATGCTTGTCTCCTCTCCGTATCCCTCTCTCCGACTTTCTGCTCGCAGTCTGTCTGTCTCGGTCGCAGTCGCTGGCCCGCGGAGATTTTGCAATGGCTGCGTCAAGTTGGCGGCATAAATAAACAACAACAACAGCAGCAACAATAAAAGTAGCAGCAGCAACAACAAAAACAAAGAGCTTAATAATAGCAACAGCGGCAGACAACGGCAGACAACGATGACAAGAACGGCAGCCATTTTGCGTTGGCAAATGGAAATAAACTGCTGCACGGGCAACTTTTGCTCGGCTGTGTTAATGGGTCAATTTATCTGGCTGACGTTTTACAAAATATGGCAACCGACAGTCGGTGAGTCGGACGTACACAAAAATTAAGCTTGAATTGAGGCGCGCTCTCGACATGCGAAAACTTCGCGCGCACGAAACTATTTTCCCAATTTTAATTGCCGTTCCGCACGAAAAATGTGACGCAATGTTGACGACGGACTGGTCTGGTCTGGTCACACTGGCAACGCTCTAATTAGCTGTCAACTATATTTGGCTCCCCGTTTTCGGAATCTTTTAAATAGTTTGTGCCAGATAATCGCCAACTCACAACTTGAATAGCTTTGCATACCTACGGGCGCCGCCCTGCAAGCTCAAGCTAGCAAATATTAATGAGAAATTTTTTGGTAAGCAACAAGGTAAGCACAAAAGACCCTTGGCAGATGATTTAGCAAGTCTTTGACGGGTTGCCAAGTACTCGTTGCAACGGTGAGCTGTGGGGGTAGTAAAGAGTCTGCTTAGGAAGGATTTGCAGTTAACGTGTTCCCCATTTAGCTGGAAGTCGCTATACAAAATTTTAAACATGTTCATACTCTATCTACAAATAAATATAGAAGGTAGAGGTAGATAGATTGGGTTAGATAGAAAGCTTATAGTTTATTTTTATAAGAACCAAGGACTGCCAACTATAAGTTTAATTTCTGTCCGTCCGTCTGTCTGTCCGCATGCATGAAAGCGAGGATCTCAGAACCTCTTATGGGTTCTGAGCTCTTAAGCTAGAGACTTGAAATTTGGTATGTGCCTGTGCAGTGCGATAGTTGATAGCTTACCCTGCTTGCAAGTAATCGATACAAATCGATATCGAAATCGTGTTTTTTTTAGCAAATCTCATAAGTTATAAGAGCTTAAGTCAGCAAAATTGACTGATAGCTTTTGGAATAGTACATATTTATCTATCAAGTATCTTTTATTTTATAGCTATCACCAACACGGGAACTCCCGACTAGAGCCTTTTACTTGTTCTGTACTGTTGCTTTATTAAAATTCTGCAGCCCTATAATTGGTAATCGAAAAATTGTTGAAATGAAATTTAAAATGTTTATTGCGCTTCTGTGAGCAACAACGCGCTGCATTAATCGCAACTGAAAAATGCAATAAAAATAAATAGGCGACTGGCTAAGAATAAAAACATTTATCAATCGGTTAAATTGCGCGCCTGTAAAATATTTGCCCACAATTAAGTGAAACAGTGACGCGTGTGCATATAATTTATGATTTCATTTAAACAACTCAACTGCGAGTAATTATGCCACCGCACACAATCGTACACACACACACACACGCACACACACACGCACGCACACGCAAATATCGCTCATACGCGCCGCAAGCCCAAGTCCGGAAATTAGACAGCGTTGCGCTTTGTGGCCCACCAGAGAGAGGGGAGTTGACCGCAGCTGTTGGCTCTCGGACTCCGGCCGAGCGACCACTTTGCGCCTTGCGGCCCTTCGGGCCCAAACATATTACGTATACGCGATGTGCAACCCACTCAGCCCGCTCGTTTGCTCGTCTGCTCCGACTGGACCTTGCGAATTAATGACTAGTCGTTGGGTTTATGTGAAGCGCTTAATTTAAAACGCTTTCGCTTACTTTCGCTTTAATTTCCATGTTTGAACTCGGCTGAAATGAAATGAAATTAGGCAACGGCAATATTAACAATTTATTGATTTAATGCTTGAGCAAAAACTAAATGTGCGTTAATCCCTGCTGTGCGTAAAGCTGTAAAGCTGCAATAATTACAAATTGCACGCCCGTTTATTAATGGACACAGGCAGCAAAATTTAATTAAACTAGCACGTGAACAACTTTTTTGCGCTGAACCAAAAACTATATGGAAAAGTTGCTGGCAATTAGTTTGGCCGAAAACAAAACTTTGAATTGGCGCGGCGACCCGTAGGCTCCGTTGGAGCAGCACCTCCGCATTGCCCAGATTTTGCTGGCCTAGTCTTACCTAACATTTTTATACATGACCGACTTCAGAGCTGGTTTTCATTTTGCTGGCTGATGCAGCACTATTGGCATCAAATTGCATTCCCAGCTAGTTGCTTCGCTGGCTTTGGCTGTCTTTGACAGCTGTTCGTTCTGATGATGCATCAGAATCTGCTCACAAAAGAATTGCAATTGTAACGCAGCAATTGTGCGGAAAAAGCCAACCCATTTGCCAGTTAGAGAGATGCCAACAAAGTCCTTCTACTCACCTGCTCGCAAGATTGATAGGAGAATCCGTTCCTTTTCCTATTTCCGACTACAACTAACCGCATTCTGATACGCAACGAAAAACTATGTTTAATCCTAAATAAAATACTCAGTTATTACTCGGAAGTATAACTAAAGCTTTATTTTCAAACTGATTGACTGACTGATTCAAAATCAACGCACAACCCAAAAGGTTTATGAAGTAATTCACCCTTTTTTATGCACTTCTTTAAACTGTACACTTTTTCGAGTAAAAACAACTGTGTTTTGGTTTGTTTTATAATTTCTTTAATCAAATGAATTTATTACAGTTCACTTAGCTGCAGCGTACTGTGTCTTTATGAGATGAGCTACATTTTGTTCCAATTTGTTGCGCTTTGAAACGAAAGTATGAAAACCCATAAACGTTTCAAAGTGTCGAAGGTTGTGCAATATTCTTTCGTATTTCGTTTTGCTTACTTTATTTGATTTGATTTTTTGTTATAAATGTTTACTTTAGCTTACATTACAATTATATAGTTTGCTTTTATTTGATAGTTTTGCTGACATTTACGAGACTTTATTTGTATGAGTTTAAATTGTTGTTTCACGCTCTTTTCGCTTAAATTAAGTACATTTCTTAATTAGTTAATTCAGTTAACTAAACTTTGTAAATCAATTAAAATATATTTACACATAAGTATTTTGTTGTTGTTGTTGTTTGCTGCATTTGTTAAACGCGAATTGCAGCTCAAATTAACAATGTTATTAATTTATGTATTTTTATAATGGCTATTTGTTAATTATAGGTTTTTGCATTTTTTGTTGTTGTTTTGATTTTGGTTTTTTTTTCTTCTAGGTAGCATGGTGCAAGGGAAAGTGTTAAATTAATTTTAATGCATCAATTAATGCGAACCAGTAATTTTACACTTTGCCATTACACTTATAATTAGGTTTTTTTTAGCTGCAATTATATTAGTTTTTGTTTGGGGGCTTATTTTCGTCTTTTAACCCTAAACTCTGTTAATGGGATAATGCACATTTATTTAACAAGCGCAAAACGAGCTGACGCGATTTTTATCTCGGCATTTGTTAAAAATGGAGAGTTACCAATGTAGGTTCTTCTATATGATGCTCAAATAATTTGTCTCGTTTCCTTAAAATTGATGAAAATAAAAAAAAATACTCCTTTTTTACATATCCCGTTACTTGTAAGAGCTTGAGACTTCAGATTTATAATATGTATACTCCCCCGCTCCTTCCCCTTCCATCATGGTTTCCTAAAATTTTAAATTCTTTGTGTAGCTATAGTCCTTAGTTATTTTTGGTATGAATAGAAACTTGACTGTCATATATATATATCTTAAAATGCTCATACAAACTATACTAGACTATAACACGGATGTTTTTTAAGAAACCATTTCCCATGGAGTGTATCCGAGAGAAGAAGAAGCACATCGGCAGAATACGCTGGGTGTATGTCTTTGTATAGAAGGAAACTAGAATTTTTCATAGATCAGCTCGTCGCTGGGTTTAGGGTATCAGCTAGTTGTGCACTCCCGACCAGAGCACACTCTCTAGTATTTTTTTCGTGTGTATCTTCTTATTTATCGTCGATTTTGTTTTTAGTTATTGTTATTGTTTTAATACTTTTACGCTATGCATAAAATTAACACTAATTTCCACATCATTTATTGCATGACATTCATATATGTATATATATATATATAATCCGCAAAAATTATCCTTTAACTAACAATATTATTATTTACAGGTGCGTGGTCTCTCTGTCTGTCTATGTGTGTGTGTGTATTTCATTTAATTATCATGAGGTCATGGACTGCTGTTGATGTTGCGGCTGCAGCTGCTCCTGCTGCTGCTCTTGCCTGGAGTAGCCATTGCCGATTGACAGCCTGACATCATAATTGATATGCACTAAGGAGAAGCTGGCAGTGCCCAGAAGCCAGCACAGCCATCGCACCACCGAGCTGGCGGCCAGTGCCAAGATGAGGTTAAAGTTGAGGCTACTTCGAAGGCAGCTGCCGTTGCCGCCGCTCTTCTGCATGGCCGCGGGGCTCTCGTCTGAGAAAATGCAAAATACAAAATGATGAAAAATGCCTGGCCGGGGCCGTGCCTGCCACTTACCATTAATGACATTGACCACAACGCTGGCCGCCTCCGCTGTTGTCGGCATGCACGTATAGTTGCCCGTGTCCAGCAGCTGGGCATTGGCAATCCGCAATCTGCAACAGTAAAGCGAAACGTTAAAGCCAGCCAGCCACCCTGCTAGTTCAACTTGGGTGGCCAATCAGTTGCCACATGAATGCAACTTCATTGATCAAAGCTCAAAATGCCAGCGCGTCAGCTATTCAGCTGGAAACTAACAAGGGCCTAAGCACACACAGCCACGCCCAATAGGTGCGAATGGGCGTCAGCCAGCGTGTGAATAGCTACAGCTTGATGCTAGATGTTTCGTGATGAGACCAAACCCAAGCCTTACCTGCTTTGGAGCTTCTCGGCAAGTGTTGATTCCATTGAGATGCGCTGCAAGTCGATGGCTGCATCGTTCGGATGGGCCACAAAGGGTGTGAGAATGTAGGGGCCGCGATACCAGTAAATTGGCCCAATATCCTGAGCCGCCGTCGCCGGCTGTTTCACATGGCATGTGAGCGTTATAACGCTGCCCACTTTGACGTACAAATCCGTTGGTCCGGCTATAATCGCTTTGGCATCTGGCGGCGTCACTGCAATGGCAAAACGTGGAACGTGCACAAAATTGATTAATAGCACTTTTAGGCGCTCGCCCAATCTCAAACCCAGCCCCAATTCCAATCCCAACCCCACAGCCCATGTTAAGGGCATGTGGCTAACCGCTGGCAACAAAGCGTGCACACACACATTTCATTTGGTCTGGCGACAATTCAACAGATGATCCACAATTACACTCGATGAATCAAAGATGCACCAGCATATACCGCACGCTCTCTCTTTCAACAGTCTGGGCAACGTTGGCGACCCGTTAATAAGCACCACGAACAGATTTACAGAGACCCACCGTCAGATACGTGACGGCAGGTGAGCACACACAAATACCTTTAAAGTTCAACACGATTTGTGCGCTTCAGATTTGAGTTAACTTGAAAAGTGAAGCTTTAAGAAATTAACATTAATTTTCTCTTGGCATTGCCGGATATATTCAGCGCAGTTTAATAAGAACATAAAAAAGTCAGTTTAAATGGATTTGTAAATAACACGATTGCAGATGGATTTAAAATTGGAAAGGGGTAAGTAACAACATATCATTTTTATTTATATAATCGTTCATATTTTTCTGGAGTATTTGAATTCGGAATTTAAATTAATATACATACTGGGCGCATTAGCTACTCGAGCTGATTAGCCAATTAGCATATTTTGCCTTTGTACTTTGTCTCCTTAAAGAGATTAGCCATGTTTAACTATAGTTACACTTTATGACTACACTTTGCCTGGACATATGTTTAGTTAGTCTACGCATTGCCATATCGATTTATATGCCAAGGTTGTTGAGTCCAATGAGCTGGTCTCTCTTCTAGTTAACTAACTAACCTGCTGTGGGCCTTGTTGTCGTTGTTATTGTTGTTGCTGTTGATGTTGCTGTTGCTGTTGCTGTTTACTGCGCAGTAAAATCGGCTTTACTGGCTGCTGCCGGGCAGTCTCTGCCAGTGCACATCATTAACAACGTCAACATTTGACTTTGTTGACGGGCTGCTGTTGGCCCAAAACTGTCGGTGGACGCACCAAAAAAACATTAAACCAATTTTCAGTGCCTATGCGGAATGGCAATGGGACTCTCTACCACGAGTGTGTGCCGCGCATTTGTCTCTGTCTGCGGCAGCTGGTAACTGCCAACTGCCAACTGGCAACTGGCAACAAAAACAACAACAACTTATCTCGCCCCCAAAATCATGGCCAATATTAGAAAGCCACGCTGGCAGAGGCAAAGCTGTGAACATAATGCTTCCGTTCATGATCCACACACACACACACACACACAATAACAACTGGCGAACAACACTTAAAATCTGTGTTCATGTGTGTTTGTGTAAATTGCGCGACAGCAACGGGAATTGTGCCGGGCCACGCCCCGCAAACAATGGGTCAATAATACGCCCACCGGAAAAGTGTCCCACACACACGCCCAGAACCCGAAAGTCAGGGCCCCGCCAAATATTTTAGGCTTTGCGGTTAACAAATTTTTATGTGTTAGTTTTGCCATTTCATTTAGTTTTTGTTTTGCCGCATACCCCGTGCACGTAAGCTACTAAATGGGGTAACATAAATGGGATATGGTATATGAATCGCACGAGATTTTCTTTGTTTGATGAAGGGCACAACGAATGCCTAACGAAAGATCGAAGCAGGTTCTAGATGTGAAGAGAAAAGTAAGCTGAAATATATGTAACAGGAGCTTGGCGCTGACTACAGGGTATCATTTAGTCGTTAAGCCCTGCTTATTCGATAAATATCGGAAATAAAACAAGAATCTTCTATTATAAATATGTACAAAAGAAAGACAAAGCTCAGACGCTCGCTATGTCAAGAAAAGAAAGCTTAAACAGTGTACTTATATATAGGGTATCTCCTAGTCATGCACACTCTCAGCTGTTTTTTTTTTCTTTATTATGATTATGTGTCCGTTATGGGCAGGCAGCTATTGATAACACAAAGACCAGACACAAACAAATCCCCAAAATTGACTCTTCACATAATGGCCACCTGAATGCGGAGTGCGCTTAGAGGACTTTTCTCTTTATGGGCCAGATTTCACTAAAAGATACTCGAAGCACACAAATATACACAAATACATTGATAAACCAAGAGACGTTGGTCAGCAAATATTTAACAAGTGCTAAATAATTTTAATTCTAATTTAAAACTAGCTTTTGTCAGCTAAAAAATACGAAATTCTAACTTAAATACGATTGAATTGGCAACGTGCTATATCTATATATTTGAGTGTTCGCTTTTTGAGCAAATACTTTTGGTAAAGCTTGTTCACACGTATTTTAAATATGATTTTTATGCCACAAATTTCGCAGCTATTTTCATTTGAATTTCAAAAGGAAAAAGAGTAGAAAACTATTTGATACGGAATAAATTTTAGATCGCATAGAAAATGCAACAAAACTCTGAAGTTTAATTGTTGTTGTCAAAAAATAATAATCAAATAAATAGTCGCGCATTTAAGTTTAACACTTAATAAGAGGCTTTCAAGCTAAATACTTTATTGTTTTTACTATAATCTCTCATTCAATTGATTTTCTGCGAATTTACCCCATATTCCCCATATATATATATATATATATATATATATATATATGTTTAATAAGCTCTTGGCTCGCATTTTACCCACAAGTTATGTTTAGGGTCTTGAAACAGGATTGATGGCAAAGTTTTTCGTGTGACTTTTATGTACAGCGAGCCGAGCTTAAATCTCAAATATAATTTGTTTGCAAGCATTTTGTTGGTTTTTGCCAGAAAGGGAAATCTTCCGGCGTACAAAACCGGTGACGGAATATTTTATCACGCCGCCAACTGCAGAAGGCGAAACTAAAAAAATCTGCGCTGAGCATTTTTTTTTCTTTGCGTGCTGCTTCCAAATAATTTGCATAAATTTCTCTTCTTGGCATTGCGGCGACTTTCCGTCGCCGGCACAAGACATGTTGGCTGGCCTTTGGCAGAGTAGGGATTATTTTTCGTAGCAGCTGCGGGTGCAGGTTGCAGGTTGCAAGTGCTGCAACGAACGGAAGCAACGGGGGCAACCGGAAGCGACAGCGTTGATTTGAGTTTATAGCTGTTGATGAGATTTGCGCCATTTTGCCAAGAGTTTGTTTTTATTTATTTATTTTTTTTTTTTTGCAAACAAAGTCAGGTGGCTGCCGGCAGCCAATTTGTAGTTGCAAATCCCCAAATGCTGTTGCTCCAGTCCGTTAAATGTTGCCGAACAGGTGCTGCCAATTTTAGACATCTCAACGCGCTCTCCACACGAACTCAGCTAATTGAATCACATGAATGGTTCCCAAGTGGCCAAAAGAGTGGCCAGGTAAACGATTGAATGCACACACGGGAAAGCACAAGCGGCTCGCCACGATTCATCGCATCTGAAAAGGGGAAACTAAACCAATCACAAGAAACAAACGTGCAAAAGATTCCATTCGACAGCAAAACTATTCAATAATTTCAATTAAATTTCGCCACCTAAAAGGGGGGGCAAGGAAAATATATAATCAAAATAAATAAATAAGCAAAACTTTGCCACGACAAACATTCAAGCAAAAGTTGGTTTGACAACAAAAAAAAAAAAAAAAGAAAGTTTCTAAATCAATTTTATGTGCATGAATGAAACATGAACGTGCGGGCTATTGTGTAACAATTTATAACAAACAAGCACACACGCACACACACAGGGAGACATAAATACACACACAGATACACACACGCACACACAGGCACACACACACACACACGAACACGCAGCTTAAGCACACACAGGAGGCAACAACTTGAAGTTGAGACGCAACGGAAATCCATTGTAGAAAACTTGTAAAATGCCAAAACAATGGGACGAGAGCGCAGTGTAAACGTGCAAAAAACACCTCAAAGGATTCAACACACACACACACACACACGCGTACACACAGGCACGCAGACAGCGTAATGCCCTCGGGGCCACGCCCTCGTCTCTGGTGGGCGGGTGTGTATTACAGCCAGCATATGAATTTAGTATTGAATTTAAATGCAAATTGCGTTTGCATGCAAAACGTGTAGCAAAGTGTTTTGGAAAAACAAAAGATAGTTTATCCACCCACACACACACACATATACTTATGTATATATATATATATATATATATGTGTGCACTGAGTTTATATGGAGTTCGAGTCTGTCCATTGCATTGACCTACATTAACTGGGAAGCTTAACTGATTACTTGATAAACTACAATTGATGGTCGATTCTATAAATTGCCAAGTGCCAAGACATGGCTATCAATTTGGCTAGCCCATAGTTATATGGTTAGCTTTTAAATTAAACAAGTTAAGTAAGTCGAGAAGAAAGTGACATATCTTGGAAAATAAATTGTATAACTAAAAATAAACTTTTTAAAAAATAAACAAAACTAGAGTATTATTTATAATTTAATAGGAATGTTTTACAGTAAATATTAATAATAATAGTTATTAAAAAAAAATACATAAAAATAACAATTCATTTCTCGAGCCTTGAGCTAAACAGATTTTCCTGATTGAAGACATTCTTTTATCAAAGTCCGACTTCTAGATTGATTCTGCGCTTAAATATGTATAAAGTGAAAAGTATACACAAAAATCGATCAATTTGATTGAGCTTAAATTATTTCCCCTAAATTTAATAAATAACAAATAGGTAATACAAAAATGACAACTACTTAGCTTGAGCTATGATGATTTTCCTGATTGATGACCGACTTCGACTTCTAGATTTATTTCGCACTTAATTTGATGTCACATATAAATGCAGTATTTTTGCACATATTTTTAAACATTTTAGGTTCTCCACAGATTAAAAATCAATAGAACTTTCATCTTTAATATGAACTTACTTAAAGCTCATGGACCATGGACAACTCAGTCTTCAAAAAAAAAAAAATATAAAATATTTCAAGCTCATTTGAAAATAGAAGAAATTTCTTCAAAAATACTTACTACATCTGCTCAGCGGCAAACAAATTAAAATCTTCTGGAATATTGATGAGCATTTATGTTTTCTTCATTTTTGCATGAATATATTGATGCATTTATTATTGACGGAAAAAGTCTCTTTAATTTGAACGCATAAATTTTTATGGTTAGCCATAAAAAAGAAGAAACCCTTAAAGTACAAGCATATATATATATTAATATATATTTTTATACAGATGTAGATATTGCCTTATGCTATATGTATATATTTAGACGCTGCATTGTGGCCTGATGTCGCAACATGACGCATGACTAACGAAAACTTTATGCAGCTGACAAAGTTTATGAACAATTTGAAAGACTCCCCACGACTGGGCAGGGTACAAAAAGTTGCCAGTTGCAAGTCGTGCGAACCGAAAGGCGACGACAGCCCGTTGACAATGCGTAAGAACTCGGCGAGCGAGTGTTTATTACAGAGCGATGGCGAGAGGGGTTGGGACGGGGGGCAGGAGGTTAGGGGCTAACTCACCTATGACATTCAAGCGAAATGCCATCGAAATCTTTGGCTCCGTGTTCACCTGGCACTCGTAGATGCCGCTGTCACGTGGCTGCGCATATTTCACATGCAATGTCCAATCCTTCGAGTCGGCGGTGCGTACGACCTGCAAGCAAAGGATACGTAGATAAATCGTTAAGGCAACTGCAAATGTCCCAGTCCAAGTCCCAAACCCCCTTGGGCTGTCCTTGGGCAAATTTAATCAATGCATACAAGTTGGGCCAGGCCAGGAGCACCGAAATGCATACGCAATTAAGCTGACTTGGCTTACAAATGGCCAGCAGGCCCCATGGCCATTTAATAAGCCCGACAAGGAGGGATGGAAGGGCGGAGGTTGGGCAATAAGTAGATTACGTATACGCACCTTGAAGCGCTCATCAGAAGTGTAGGTCAGAATGCCTGCAGTCAGAATGTGCAAATCGCGTTTCCTTATCCAGGATACCTGCAAATAGACACAAACACACGCACACAGAGAGTTAGACAAAAGGACTTTGATCGCCTAAGTCAATTTCAAAAATTGCTAGGGAGCTGGCCAAAATAAAGATAGAAAATTTAATAAACCAAACGACAAAATGAACTAAGCGCTACACAGAAGAAAAAAATATAGCTGAAACAAAATCAAAATATAGGGGAGAAACTAAAAACTTTTTGCAGCGGCAGGCAAAGCGATTTGCAGCCAGGCAACAGGAGCGAGAGGTGCGTGCCCAAAATGTCAGCGGCTTAAAGCCTTGCCAAAGCCTTCGAAAAATGGTGGCCATAGCCCCACCGAAAGCAGCCAAAAAGTAATCTGCAAGCCTGCCGCAGGCGGCCAAAACTTTTCGCTGCGCCAAAGAGATGCGAGGCAAAAAATAAAGGAGCCTGGAAAAATAAAAATAAAACACGAAAAACTGAAGCCGAAACTAAAAGTGTCAAAGCGGCAAAAGGAAACGGCACCCGCCCACCTCAGCTATCCCTCCCTCTTAAAAAAAAAAGAAAGGAAAATGTGAAGAAAAAGCAGCCAGAAAGGTGCTACTAAATCTCGTTCTGTGCGGGAATGGATGATGATGAGCTGGGCGCCGGACTATGTGTTGGCTGCTGGCAACAGTTTTTGGGCAAGTGGATTTGCAGCCAGGTGAAAAAAAGAGTTCGCAGCGAAAAAGGCAAAGCTATGCAAAGCAGCAGCACTCGCAATGATAGACAGATTTAGGGACTGCTCTCTCGGAAACGGCTCAGCCAAAGTGGAAAGTGGAAAGTGGAAAGTAGAAAGTGGAAACTGAAGCCCAAAACAGATGCTACAAAATTCATTCAGTTTAAGCTGAATACTTTCTATGAACTGACCCTGAAACTGGCGCGGATTAATGGTGCTCTTGCTTGCGAATTTACAGTGAAATAAATTTTAATTAAAGATTCGAATACTCATTAACCTTAAGCTCTAAAAAGTGCTACTGCTAATGAGTAGCAAAATATTCAACACATTTTGGCAAACATTTTCAAAGCAGCTGCAACAAAGTTTCCATTTAACTGCTGATGCTTGTCAAAGACTTGGCAACATTGTAAAAAAAACCTTATCTATCGGAATTGCAATATTTCTCTACCCTTGCGATCCGTTCTAAAACTCAAGAAAACCTTTTAGAGAACAACAACCTACTCCATTACTTCTTCCATGTTCCTCTAGCATTGTCGCAGAATGTATTTTTTATTGTCATTTATTATTTTATATGCCATCACTTTAATTATTGCTATAATTTATATTTGACATATACATACTTTAACCTTATTCTCTCTTTTATTGAGTACTTGAGTCCTCGTTTTTCTCTATGTTCGCTCTGCTATACTCTCCATATACTACTCTCCATCTGCCTTTCGACACCTTTGCGAGATAAATTAAAATGTATAACACAGAAAAGGAGACATCTAAAGGACTATCAATCTCTCCTGCTGCCAGCTTCTATGTTAAAAAGTATCTCTATTTAAATTCCAGCTTTTTGCTAGTTTGGTCATGAATCGAACTTTAATTATTAAGCCGGCCCAATCGGCACACAATATCAAATTGATGTCAAAAAAAAAAGTATTTTCGAAAAAAAAAAACCGATTTTTTGTACACCTTAAATTAAGTGAAGAGAAACTCATTTGGAGCATCGAATTGATTGGCATTCAATACGAGGCGCAGCAAAAAAGTTCCACTTTTCGCAGCAAAGTTACGGTTGACCTTTGGAAGCCACAAAAAAAAAGAGGAGGAGTAACAGTGTTGTAAAGCGAAAGAAAAACGCAAAGAAATCAACTTTAAAGTTGATGAAGCAGCGCAGCAATCAATAGATACAAAAAAAAAAAAATATAAAAAAATTAAAAATAAAGCAAGGCTGGATGAGGGACAACAAAAAAGAAGATGAAACACAATGCAAAACCATAAACTAAACTTTTGAGGGTGGCGACAGGACGCGAAGGATAAGGACAACGGGACAAGAGGACTTCTGTCAGTCAAGCAAGAAAATGACCAAAAGACCAGCTGAGAGATGAGCACAATGAAAGCGGAACCGGAAAACGATACGAGTAGCTGAACAAACTGTCCGAAGAAAAAAAAGGCAAGCGAAAAAAAAAATTACTTTGGCGGTAAGTTGATTTTCAGCTTGACTAGCTCGAAAGTCAAGGTCAATATTTGCCTGAGCGATAGTTAAAAATGCATAAAAAAAAAGAAAAGAAAAGTATATCGAACGGAAGAAGACATTTTTGAGATAAGACGAAAAGACTTGACTCACCGATTTATCGCGCAAATTCTCGACGCGGCAATTGATGGCTGCCGTGTGTCCGGTCCGGGCCGTTATATTCCGGGGCATGCCAAAGTCAAAGACCGGCGGCGGATAAGTTGTCTCATCCACTTGCTCATCGACCAGCTCATCCAAAGCATTGTCAAAGTGCGCCGCATTGTTGTGGTGCAAATGCTGGTTACCATTCCCAATCCCATTCCCATTCCCGTTCCCATTCCCGTTGTGGTTGTGGTTGTGGCCATGGACCAGCGAGGCGATGTATACATCATCCACAGCCGCAATGGAGGGCAACAAGTCGTTGTCTATGATGTTGGCAGCTGCAAAGGAGAAAAAAAAAAACAATGAACAAATTGTGAAAACGAGAAATTGAGAAGCGGACAGCAGAAATTGAGAACTGAGAATCGAGCATCGAGCATCGAGAATTGAATAAGCAAATGCTGTAATTGTTGATTGAATTGGCAGCATTTGCCAGCTTCTCTGTTGTCTATCGCTGGCCAGGCCAGAACTTCATTTACAGCTTAGGCCATGGACAAAGAACACTTAAAGCTAACGAGATAGTGCACAGACCCCCGCACAGCATCAAACAAAGAAGGGTATAAAAAGGCCATTGCATTCAAAGCAAATTAATTAAATGCCACTCAATGCCTAGAGACAAGTGCCAGACTCTGCCAGCACTTGAGCTCATGTGAGAAAAGTCAAATGGCCAAATGGTTGATGGGTGTGCCTCTGTGAGTGTGTGTGTGTGTATGTGTCGACCGAAGCCTTGTTCATAGATCTTAAATGTGTCAGGCTGACATGGCTTTAAGACAATGGCCAATAGAATGCAGCAGTTGGCTGTCCTTGACTCCAAATGACTTGCGGAAAGCGCTCGTTATAATAATTATAAAAAGCATTGTGAACCAACAATCGAATCATTTCCTCGCTCTCGCGTTGGCTAAACAACGGAAATTGTTTTTAATTAAAATAAACGAGCGCTTTTTATGGCCCTGCGGCCGGAAGTGCGCATAAACCAAGACCGAGCGGCCGCCATTCGCTCCGGCTCTGGCTCTGGCTCCGTCTCCTGCTCTGCTTCGCATTCGATTCACGCGTCCGTTCAGAGTGATAAAAAATTTTGACAACTCTTGAAATTACACTTAATGAGTGCTATAGCGAACGTGTGAAGCGAACGAGAACAGTTACAGTTTTCTTGTTCTTTTTTTTTTTTTTTTTTTTTTGACGGCTGGCTGAAATGATTCTGAGAGTCATTTTTAAGTCCCTGCACAGCTCGTGAATGTCCCATTAGAAATTAACTGGCCTTGTAGAATTGAGAGTTCTTAACAAAATGATTATATAGAGATTATTCTTAAGATACGAGAAGCTTGAAAAAAGATAAGTCTTATAAAGGTGAGTCTTAAGAGACCAGAAGTGTGAACTCTATTTCAATTTTCCCGTCGAATTTCTCAAATTTTAAGTTTGAAATCTCATTCATACGCTGTCTTATAATTAAATATTTTAAATTAATTAATTATTCTTTTATAGCTAAAATGCATTACAAACCAATTCAAAGGGTATCTTAAGTATTTCTTTATACTCGCATCAGATAATTTCCACATAATAAATATATAAATGCTTGAAACATCATTCGTTTATAATTTTAATTAATTTAAACTAGGTTAAATCAAATTAATTTTATTTCATCCCGTTTATAACATAAATTATTAAAATATTCAAGCTGCAAAATAATTTAAATTGTTTGCCATGAATTTTTATTTGTTTTTTACACTAAAATGTTTTAAGCGAAAACGTTAAAAAATGTAATGAGCAATAATAATGTGCATAAGTTGTTATAAAATCATTTGAGTATATTTAAAAAACTCAATCTTTTTTTTTTTTTTTTTTGAATATTATTTTTATCATTGCTGTGATTGCCCATATCCATATTCATATTTATTTATCTCTATACGTGTCACATATCGCCATAATTTGTGCATATTTATCGTAATTTGCATTGCAATTTGAACAAAAAATAAAATTGTTCAGTCTGTTGGAAAAATTCCACGCATTTCATTGACCGTTCAACAAAGTTCAAAGTTCACACTTTGGTATACATAATGTGCGCACACATTAAGCACGCCCGACCGCACACAAATTTCTGCGACTAGAATATCCGCATGTGCATTATCCTGTTTTTTTTTTTTTCAAGTGCAACACTTGTCACTGGCACCTTTCGTATCCTTTGGCATTCCAAAAGTAAAATGCATATTTTTGCATTTGAATTTATTTGACATTTTAATGAGCGCATAATGTCAGCCCCGAGTGTTAGTCGCAGTCGACACTTATAATTCAACGTACGCGACTGCTCCTCAATTTAGCTCGTTGCCGGGCCGGGAACTGCCCCCGTGTCAGACCACCCTCCCCCCTGCTACACCCTCACTGTCTAACTGGGTCACTCGCTTTGGCAACTGCTGCTGCTGCTGCTGCACTTGAATCTTTTAGGCCGTTGTGGCACTTGTGCATGTTAGACACAAAAATCTAAATTATTTAAGTGCCCACACACACGGTAAGCGAGGCCGGGCCGGAGTGGGAGACACATCCGCTCGAAAGAGTGCGAAGCGTTTTTATTCTAGTTTGCTGAGTGCACCATTCGCAGATACCCATTGAATACTTTACTTAACTTTTCAACTTGATTTTCATATCATTATATTTGCATCTCAAACATTAACCATGTGGATAAACTGCCTTGTAAATGTATAGTTGCATGTCAAACATTGGGCATATATCAAACATTTGCCAATTACTTGAGTCCCAATTTAATTTGATTCATATCATTACAATTGTATCACCAACATTTACCATGAGGATAAACCACTTTGCAAATGTTAAATGGCATTTTAACTGACAGACATTTCGATTAAAATCATAATTTCATTTTACACTTACACCGGCACTGGCATACTCTTTCTAACAATTTTTTGTACAGGGTATATAAAAAGTAAGCTACACACGAAAAAAAAGCAACATGCAAAAGCGGCAAACTGAGTATTGCACTTGTTGTTGTTGTTTGGCTTTATTCTGCAGACACACACACACACACACACACACACACATGCAAATTCACACACGCACACACACTCATATTTTTTGGCATCATTTAGATGCTCGTCGAGCAACTGATGCAAATTTAATTTGGACACCTCCACACAAAAAGTGCGCGTGAGAGCAGCGGGTCGGGTTTGAAGAGGGGCGGGGGTAGATTGTGGTGGACCCAGGGGGATTGGTTAAGGGTAGCTATCTGCGCCATAACTTGCGCTTGAGTGTGTATGAACTGCAACTAATGATGTTGCAGGCACTCGAATGCGCCTTTTTGATTTAACGATCGACTTTTTTCTCCCAGTCGCTGTCGTCGTTGTTGCTGTTGTTGTTGTTGTTGTTGTTGTTGTTGCTGCTGCTGTTGATGATAACGTGGCAGAGTGGAGATTGCGCTGGAGAGGTCGAAGGTTGCAGATTGGCGAACACGGTGGGGGAAAGCGCTTAATGACTGGTTGGTTTGGTTAGCTGGTTGGCTGGTTAGCTGCCCGTTTCCTGCGGTTTATGCTCGCCTTTTGACTGGTTTTTGTTTTTTTGTTCAACTTTTTCGTGAGTGCTTTTGTATATTTTTTTTTATTTTGTTCCATGTGTTTCAGTTTTTGTTTCCTTTTTTTTTTTGGGTGGACGATGCGCCTATAACTTTCTGGCAAGCTGCACAATTTTCTCTGACGTGTTATTTATCATAAACTTAACTGCAGTGGTGCGCATAAAAAAGCAAAGTATACACTTTTTTTTTGTCGAAAAGGTTCATCAAATGCAAATAAAATGCAAATAAAAGTCAAGTGGTTACTCGAGCGCCTTTCAGTAAGCTCTCGATTGACCTTGGCTTCAAAAAATCAAAATTTTCTGCTGCCTGCCTTCGGGTTTAGCGGCTCGGAATATGGTTAGCTGCTCAGGTGTGGATATTAAGCTGATTTTCGGATTGGCTGTCGATTTGTTGTCGGATCTGAGTCCCGGCCTAGTAAGAGGGCGAAAAATTGTTTAGATTGTTCCACAATTTGGGCTAATGCGATGCAAATAAGCCGGTAAGCGGCTCGAAGGTTTTATTTCCTTAGGCGCATATTTGAAGTTTTCACAAATTTGAACGTCTCTAAGTTCAATAAAACGAACGTGCTTTGGCACAATAATCGCTGTGAAACGAATGCAGACGTGTCTAATGGGAATATATGAAATGCAAATTGAAGAGAGAGAAATACCACAGATAACAAATTTATAAAAAAAAAAGAAGCTATTTTTATCATTTTTGTGCTTTATTGTCTGGCGCCCAACATGGCACCAAAACACATAACCCTTGAAACAAAACAAACAATAGAGAAGCCTTTCACATATATAAGTATATATTTTTTTTTGTCGGCGGGGCAAATATTTTCATACCGAACGTAAAACACAGCTCTTGAATACAGAGATATTTTTAAGCATTGTGTTAAATGGCGCCCAGCACGTGGTGCGATGCGAAAACCCTTGAACTTAAAGTAATCCTACATCCTTTAAGCTCTATATATTCAAAGAGAATTCTATTTGAAGAGCAAGCTTTGTTTGTACGTAATTGGAGATTATTATTATTAACAAATGTTGCCCAACGAGGGGTGTAAAGAGAAACTTTTAAACTTGCAGTCGCATTAAGTGCCTCAAACAATATCAACTCAAAGAACATAAAATAACTGTTTACTAATTAAACAATGTGTATTTGTAAATTATTAAACAATTTGATATCCCTAAGCTGTTTGAAAAGGGCATTAAATATATTTTACACATGCAATTTTCTATTGCGATATACATTAAAACTTAAGCACTTTAAAGGCATTTAGCTTATGGCTTTTGAGCCTCAAAAAAATAAGACTAGCTACTCAGGATTGTTGGTCCGGGGGGAGTGGGCAGCAAAAGGCTTCTGAAAAATTCAATAAGCTGCTCAGTCTCAGCTATGACTACGACTGACTCTTCGCATCGTCACTTGCGGGCGTGTGGGGAATATTTATTAAAATCGCTGAGCACAATTTTATTTTGCATATCAAAAGGCGACTCCGTCTTGTTGTGCGTATGCCAGCTATGGGAAAATAAGAGCCAGCCCAAGCCGAGAGCCCATGTGTTTGCTTAGGCGGTAGTCGGATTTGCCGGTGTGTGTGGGCCAGCATACAAAATAGCGCACAGTCTTAGCCACTGGCCAATGGTTGTTTTAATGTACACTCAGACTCATTGAGCTCATTGAAATTGTTGTGGGCAAGCAAATAGCCGAAGGCGTTAAGAACCTACT